TTATGTAAACATTTTACAGCCTTCCGGACTCAACACAGAGCCCAACAATTTTACACCATGAACGTTGCCTCCATTTTGATTATGTGTTTTTCTGTGTCATATTCCAGGTTTAAGCTTGTTTCTCATGTTTTTATTTTCAGACAGAGCTGTTTGCTCATCTGCCACTTACACTCACCCTAGACAAATTCTTTGTGTTTTTTTTAAACTATGACCACAACTACACTCTTTGACTTTTCATAGAATCCCTACAGTGTGGAAACAGGCCCTCCAGCCCAAAAAATCCACACCAACCTCAGAGCATCCCACCCAGACCCATTCTCCTCTAACCCACCCAATCTACAAATCCCTGAACACTATGGGCAATTTAGCATGTCCAATCAACCCTAACCTGCACATTTTTGTACTGTGGGAGGAAACCAGAGCACCTGGAGGAAACCCACACAGGCACAAGGAGAATGTGCAAACTCCACACAGACAGTCATCTGAGGGTGGAATCGAACCCGGGTCCCTCGCACTATAAGGCAGCAGTGCTGACCAATGAACCACTATGCCACCCCTTTTGTGAAAAACAAAATCAACTATAATTTTGTTCCATGACACCTTAGCCATTTACTTGCCTCACCTTATTTTATCCCAGTCCTTCCCTTTTGTTCTTTCTCCATTTGGCCCCTTTCAATGACAAATAAACCCAGACTATTTCTACCTCTTTTCAGTTCTTAGAAGAATCATAATTTACTCAACATATTAACTTTATTTCTCTCTCCATAGATGCAGCCAGACAAGTTGAATTTCTCCAACATTTTCTGTTTTTATGCCAGATTTCCAGCATTTGTAGTATTTTGCTTTTACATAAGTAGAAGATGGATTTTAATCAAGAGAACTGTGAATTGATACATTTTGATAGAAAGGATAGGGAGGGGCAATATAGACTCATTGACATGTTCTAAAGAGTGGGCAGGGACAGAAGGGCCCAGGAGTGAAAACATTTGTTTTCTTTATTCATTCATGGGATGAGGGCATCGCTGGCTAGGCATCATTTGTTGCCCATCCCTAATTGTCCAGAGGGCAGTTAAGAATCAACCACTTTGCTGTGAGTCTGGAGTCACATGTAGGCCAGACCAGGTAATGCTGACAGTTTCCTTTCCTAAAGGACATTAGTGAACCAGATGGGTTTTTTCTGACTAACATGGTTGCCTTGATTGTTGAAATGGTAGGACATGTTAGGAGAGAGATTAGAAAACTTTATCGGATCTCAGACTTCATCAATAGAAGTACGGAGTAGAAAATCTGGGAAGTTACTGAATATTCATCAAGGTCTGGTTAGGTCACAAGTGGAGAATTGCAATTGCTCCTGGTCACTGCACTTCAGCAAGCATGTCAGAGTTCTTGAAAGGCTCCATAAGAAAGTTACTGGAATGGTTCCAAATATAAGGGATTTTTGCTGTTAGATTACGCAGAAGGGACTACTGTGGTTTTCCACGAAATAAAGGAAGTTGAGGTAGGATTTAATAGAAGTGTACAAGATTATGACAGGCTCAGCTCAGGTAGAGAAGTAAAACTATTTCCATTACTTAATGGAACGAGGAATACAGGACATTGATCTAAAGTTTGGTAAAAAGGCAGGAGGAGAATGTGGGGAAGAACTTTTGTTTTTCAGCATACGGTAATGACTTGAAACCCCCTGCTTCAATGGCAATGGTAGAAATGGGGATAATTAACAATTTCATAATGAAACCGGATGGGCATTCAAGGAAAATAAACTTTACAGACAGCAGGATAGGCTGGAGGAATGGAATTAACGGATTGCTCTCGTAAACCAGAATAGAATCAAAAGGTCATAGAGTCATACAGGATGGAAACAGTCCATGCCGAACATAATCCCAAACTAAACTAGTTCCACCTGCCTGCTCCTGGCCCATATCCCTCTAAACCTTTCCTATTCATGTAATTATCCAAATATCTTTTAAACGTTGTAACTTTACCCACATCCACTACTTCCTCAGGAAGTTCGCGCCACACGTGAACTACCCACTGGATAAAAAAAGTTGTTCCTCATGTCTTTTTTAAATCTCTCTCCTCTCACCTTAAAAAATGTGCCCCCTAGCCTTTTAATCCCCTGTTCTTGGGAAAAGACAACTACCGTCAACTCTACCTATACCTCTCATTATTTAATAAACTTCTATCAGGTCGCCTCTCAACTTCCTACACTCCAGTGAAAAAAGCCTCAGCTAATCCAACCTTTCACAATAACTCAAACCTTCCATACCCGGTAACATGCTGGAAAATCTCTTCTGAACCCTCTCCAGTTTAGGAATATCCTTCCTACAACAGGGTGACCAGAACTGGACACAGTATTCCACAACAGGCCTCACCAAAGTCCTGTATTACCTCAACATGACTTCCCAGCTCCGCAACACTCAAAGGGTTGAGCAACGAAGGCAAATGTGCAAAGCGCCTTTTTAACCACCCTGTCTTTATGTGATACAAACTTCAAAGGATTATGTACCTGCACCGTTAGGTATCATACGCAAATTTACTAGCCATGCCTTTTATATTCTCATCCAAATCATTTATGTAAATAAGAGGACGCAGAATCGCTCCCTGTGGAACACTGCTGGTGACAGGCTTCCACTCCTAAAAACAACCCTCCATCACTGGTCTCTGTTCCTGCTATTAAGCCAATTATGCATCAAATTGGCAAGCTCACTCTGAATCCCATGTGACCTAATTTACTAATTAGTCTACCATGCGGAACTTTGTTGCAGGCTTTACTAAAATCCAAATAAACAACATCTACTGCTCTGCCATCATCAATCTTTTTGGTAACATCCTCAAAAAACTCAATCAAGTTTGTGAGATATGATTTTCCTCGCACAAAACCATGCTGACTATCCCTAACCAATTTTTGCCTCTCTAAATGTCCATAAATCCTTTTATAATCACCTCCAATAATTTACCCACAACCGAACTCAGACTCACAGGTTTGTAGTTCCCCGGTTTCTCCTTATAACCTTTCTTAAACAAAGGTACAACATTAGCCACCCTCCTGTCATCAGGCACATCATCCGTAGTTATAGATGATGCAAATATTTCTGCAAGGGGTCTCGCAAATTCGTCCCTTACTTCTGACAATGTTCTGGGATACATTAGATCAGGACCCGGAGATTTATCAATGTTTATGTTCTCTAAGGCCTCCCGAACTTCCTCTTCTACAATATGAACTGTTTTTAAAACATCGAAGTTTATTTCTCTGCGTTCTCTGAACTCTATTTTTTTTTCCAGAGTAAAAACTGACACAAAATATTCATTTAGTATCTCTCCCATCTTGTGGAGTTCAACACAAAGACGACGTCCTTGATCTTTAAGAGGCCTTACTTTCTCTCTAGTTACCCTCTTGCTCTGGCCAAATGGTCTCCCTCTGTGCCCTAACAACACTAAAGCTTTGGTTCTTGGAATCAGACCTGTGTTAAATAATTGTATACCAGGAATGAAGCAAACCTCAGCAGGACTACTTTAAAAAAGTACTTGGATGAGCATTTGTAGTGTTATAACATTCAAGGCTATGGGCCTATTGCAGGAAAGTGGGATCTTAGAGTAGGATAATAGGTTGGCACAACATCATGGGCCGAAGGGCCTGTACTGTGCTGTACTGTTCTATGTTCTATGTAGGCAGTGGTATCTTTTCAGCAGGACAGATTTGATGGCTGAAGGTCCTCTTCATTACTGTATGATTCTATGGTCATGAGAAGGATGGAATTTCTTGCTCTGTGACTATTTTGATTCTTAGTCATCAGTTTTATAATTGCTAACTTGGCCTTTGATGATTATCCAAGGCATGTCAGTGGCCTCCTATATGTTCACAGTTTGTATAAGGACTTTGAAGATGTTTGGGGCATTACCACAGAGATATTTGTGATTGGGCTGATTTAGAAACAGGATGGGTGTTTACCAATTCACATTTCATCAGTCTTTCCACTTAACTAACTACTCTATCAATCTATTTCTTCAATATTTCTAACGACGAAATGATTCCACTCATGATCCCTCTCAGTGATAATCAGAGATAATCAGTGTATTTCTTCACTTTCTCTGATATTATCAATATGTCTTACCCTTCAGCTCTAAAGAGCGGCTTCAAAGTAAACTTAGCTATGGCCCGTACAGAAACTGCCTGTTGTGCTGTCCACTTTTGGCCTCTCAACTTTTCATAATCACTTTGCCTCTTGCAAATGACACAAAAATAAGTGGACGGGCAGGTAGCGTTGAAGAAGTTGGGAGTCTGCAGAAGGACTTGGAATCAGTGGGAGAGTGGGCAAAGAAGTAGCAGATGGAATACAATGTGGCAAAAGTGTGAGATTATGCACTTTGGTAGGAAGAATAGAGGCACAGACTATTTTCTAAATGGAAAAAGGCTACGGAAATCTGAAGGTCAAAGAGACTTAGGAGTCCTCGTTCAGGATTGTCTTAAGGTTAACATGCAAGTTCAGTTGGTGGTTAGGAAGGTAAATGCAATGTTTGCATTCATTTCAAGAAGCATAGACAACAAGAGCACAAATGTACTGCTGAGGCTGTATAAAGCTCTAGTCAGAACACAGTTCCTACTATCTCTGGAATATTTTAAGTAGTTTTGGGCCCCATATCTAAGGAAAGACATGCTGGTGTTGAAGGGGGTTCAGAGGACGTTTACAAGAATGATCCTGCGGATGAAGGGCTTGTCATATGAGGAACAGTTGAGAACTCTGGGTGTGTATTCGATGGAGTTCAGAAGGATGAGAGGGGGATCTGATTAAAACTTACTGAATACTGAGAGGCCTGGATAGAGTGGATATGGAGAATGTGTTTCCACTAGTTGGAAAAACTAAGATTCGAGGGCACAGCCTCAAAGTGAAGGGACGACCCTTTAGAACTGAAATGAGGAGGAACTTCTTCATCCAGAGGTTGGCAAATCTGTGAAACTCACTGCTACAGAAGGCTGTGGAGGCTAAGTGAGTGCATTCAAGACAGAGATAGATAGGTTCTTTATTAGTAATGGGATCAAGGGTTACAGGGAGAAGGCAGGAGAATGGATTTGAGAAACATATCAGCCATGATCAGATGGTGGAACAGACTCGATGAGGTGCATGGTCTAATTCTGCTCATATATCTTACGGTCTTTAAATGTGCGAAAACATCTTTCACAGGCTACATAATAGTGAAAATACACAAATAATTTGACATATAAAGAATTCTGAGTGGCTGAGGATTGTACAAAAAGTTAAGTAGTGAAAGAACATTGCAAGAAAAATGACGAATTGAAGATCTCTCTACTACCACTCTGTACCAGGCATGCACGTTAACACCATTATGATACTAAGCCATAATCTCAACAGTTCAGCACTTTAATTAAAGTGATATATTGAGGAATATTAGTCTCAATTTCAATTCAAAGTACACTTTTCCTTACCAACACGTCACTTGTTATTCCTTAGATACCAGTTACAATTGTATACATACCTGTAAACCCATAATGTAGACCAGGGTTTTGTTTGTTATGGAAAACCTGCCCAGGATTTGCACCACTTGAACACTTGGAACAGAGAAGTAGAAAGGCACAAAGAGAGCAAAGATGGGACCCAGACTACAAAGAAGGAAGAAAAAGAACCACATTAATTTTACTTTTCATTCTTAAGATGTTGTAATCACTGCCGATCTTTGATTAACCTTGAGAAGATGACAATGAGCTGTCTCTTCACGAGAAGTTAGTGTCTATTTCAACAAGCAATTAAAAGGGTAGCCACATTGCTGCGGATCTGGAATGACATGTAGGCTAGGCTGGATAATGACAACAGACTTCCTTCTCTAATGGATATTAGTGATTGAAAGTCACTATGGTCTCGGGGGCCATATGCTGCTCTCCATTAAGGAGTGACATAACAGATGAGTTTAACTTGACTATAACCAGGACTCAGGCAAGTACCTCGGTAAAGAAGCTAGGGCCTTCATCACAACATCAGCTACTATGGGAATTGAATTCACAATGTTAGCATCAATCTGCACTGTGAATCAGCCATCCAGCCAACTGTCTGGAGCACCAAACAGTGACCTGTAGGGCTGACTAGTCTGTTTCTATGCTGTACATCCTATGTTAGACCTTGTTTTTTTCAGTAAACATGTCTTAACTTAAATTATTGCTGGGTTTATTCAGACAGAAAGTGCAAATTCAAAAGGCTAACAATATTCAACAAGCCTAATATAAAACACAGACCTGTACCTAATAACTGGATTAAGCCATTAAACCCTTCAGCATTTCATGCAGCAGCAGTAAAGAGAGCAAATTGGATCTTTAGGAGCAAATTCTTTAACCAGAAGGAGGTGAGAATGTGAACTCACTACCACAGAAAGTAGTTGAGGTGAATAGCATAGATACATTTAAGAGGAGATTGATAAACAAATGAGGAAGAAAGGAATAGAAGGGTAAGTTGATGGGGTGAGATGCAGAAGAGTAGGGGAGGCCAATGTGGAACATAAAAACCAAGTTTGAATTGTTAAACTAAATGGCCTGTTTCTGTGTTGCAATATTCTAAGTCAAAGTTTTGCAATCCCCTGTCCATGTTAGCAAAGGCTAATTATTATAGTCCATGTTGATTCTATGCCTAAACATTTTGCGTCTCATCATGATGTCATCATCAAGTTTCCTTTGTATATTTTAACTATTTGAAGTTTCCAAATGATTGGGACAAAAAAAAGACTGTGTTTTGTATTTAGGTTTTCGTACTGAAACATGTCCCTTGCACAAGAGTTGTGGTGTTGATCCGAATGATAAAAGACAATTGCCGCAGCCATTTTTGAGTGCTTTGTTGGAAAATCACATTTGTTTTCTTGCATGTGCGTAGAAAGCTGTGCAATTCAATTTCATCAAACCACACGGCAGTAGAGGACCTTTAATCCATCCACTCGTGCCTTGAAAAAGATAGCCAATTAGTCCATTTCCTCTATCTTTTCCCACACCTCTGCAAACCTTTACACCCTCTAATATTTATTCATCTCCCTCGCAAAAGCTACTGCTGAATATTACCTTTCAGGCAATGCATTTCAGATCACAACAATAAATGGGCAACACTGTCTAACTCATAATGCTTGAGATTCTTTTTTGAATTATGTGAGAGGAGACTCAGATTCCATCAACTGTATTTGAACACATGTTTTACAGGCGAAAGGAGTGTTACAACTCAAACTACTTTCAACTTTTTTTGTTTGTACTTCTAAAGTGCTATGATAAGAAACTGACAATATTGAAACTCACAATCTGTTTGTTCATCTATAATTCTGGATAATCTCATGCCATTCTCCACATCTTAAAAGGTCTCAGCTATGACTCATTGGATTGTACTTGGTCTATTTGTTAAATTCTGAGTTCAAATCTATGCCAGAAATTTGAGCACAAAATGAAGAACTGAGTGAGTGCTGCCCTGTTCAAGTCAACTGACTTTCAGATTAATCTGAAACCCTCTAAGTGAGCACAAAAGAATCTGTGGTCACCATTTCAAAGAAGAACAGGGGAACTCTCCTCAGAGTCCTGGCCAATATTTATCCTTCAAACGACATAACTAAATACAGATTACCTAGTCATCAGTACGTTGGTGGGATTTTGCTTTGTGCAAATTAGTTGTTGCATGGCCTTTATTATAGCAATGACAGTGGTTACAAATATTCCACTGGCTGTAAAGCACTCCCAAGAATCCTTAAGTCAGAAAAGATTCTGTAGAATAGCAAGTTCATTTTATTATTAAAAAATTGATGATTTTAGCCTGGTTTGCTAATTTTCTTGAATTAATTAACGTAGAAGCAAGCAGGTGATTTGAGTTGAGATTCAAGCATAGAAATACAGGTAGCAAGGACAATATCACAGAACCACTGTGGTTAGTTGGAAAGCATGGGCTTGATTCAGAATTCAGTTCTGACCTTGAACGATTTATCTCAATAGCAACAATGCCAATGATGTTCTGGGTTTTTTTTATATATTGTCAGGACTAACTGAGGTATTGTGCTGGAAAGCAAGCCCCACAATCACTGGCACCAGAATAAATGTGAAAATTTGACTAAACGACCAAATTCAACAATTCTGTCTGTCTAACTCGGGTGAAACGAAAATGTACACCAGGCTTTTCATCAAAAAGAAACAACTTTTTGTTATCATCAATTATTTTTTAGCCAATGGTTCAAACAGAAAAATATCACTTAAATTCTACCTCTTTTAAAAATTTGATTACAAATACAAAAAGACACACAAAGAAATAAGACAAGGGTATTAAGGATGGAAAAGACAGGGAGAGGAAAACCAGGGACAAATAGGTTGATAACACTAATCTGGACCACAGGAGTTGGTGAGTTGATTCTTTTTTAGTTCCTTATGCTTCCTTTTAGTTATCTGCTAATGGGATAATGTTGTTTGTATACCAATGCTATCTTTCATTCATGGGTTGAGCATTTGCCCCTTTCAGTGTCTCTGAAAATGGTTTTCTCCCCGCTTCTTCCTTTCAAAAGGCAATTTGCAAAGGAAGTGCTTTACAGGGAAAAAGACGGAACAGCACTTGGAAAATTTTCTGTTAGTTTGCCACACAGGAAGGTCAGGCAAAGAGATTCAGGTGCTTTCTCTTGACAGGTTAGATGTTTCTGTTCTGGTTGCCACACTAGGGTGTTAGGTACCTACGGCACACTGTTAGCAATGGTGGCACGCCAGATACAATAGCAATGTTGAAGAGGCATTTAGACAGACACATGAACAGGCAGGGAACTGAGGGATATGGTTCGTATGCAGGCAGGTGGGATAGTTTAAAATGGCATCATGGTCAGCATGGATATGGTGGGCCAAATGGCCTGTTCCTGTCCTGTACTGTTCTATGTTCAGTACAATGTGGCCAAGGTTTAGTTGGTGAACAGAAGGTTGGGAAAGTTTTAAGAACCAACAAAGAAAGGACAAAAAATTCTAAAGGAGAAAATAAACTTTGAGGGCAAACTTGCAAGTAATATCAAGATGGACAGCGAGAGCTTCTTTAAATAAATAAAAAGGAAGAACCTGGGCCCCCTGGATAATGAGATAGGGAAATAATGATGGGGAATTAGGAAATTGCAGAGGAGTTGAACAAATATTTTATATTAGGCTTCAATAGAAGACACTGATGACAATCCAAAATTACTAAATATCAAGGGACAAAAGGAGGAGAGGAAATAACTAGAAAACTATCACTAAAGAAAAAGTGCCAGGGAACTTCATGAGACTAGAACCTGATAAATCCCCTGGACCTGATGGGATGCATCTTTTGCCATTTTTAGTCCACTGTTTAAAATATAAAAGCAGTCTAAAGCATTTTCTTGTGTGAAATTTTAAAGAGAAGAAATAAAAGGATCACCAACAGCCTAAATTTTTAAGTGATGAAAACTTGGAGTATGTGAATGTGAGACAGTGAAAGGAAAGAAAGGAAGGTTAAAAAAAAGGGAGAGAAGAAAAGACAGGATTCAGGAAGAGAGAAATGAGAGAGGGGTTAGAATGAGGATGGTTGTTTATTTTGAGGGGTTCATGGCCACAGATACTGAAAATAGTCAGTCGACAATTTGTAGCAATTTTTTGTCAGTTTATTGAGATTGTTAAGCAGCAGCAATTTAGATATGATACATTTAGGGCAGCATGGGTGGCTCAGAGGTTAGCACTGCTGACTCACAGCGCCAGGGACTCGGGTTCGATTCCACCCTCGGGGAACTGTCTCTGTGAGTTTGTGCATTCTCCCCGTGTCTGCATGGGTTTCCTCCGGGTGCTTCGGTTTCCTCCCACAGTCCAAAAATGTGCAGGTTAGGGGGATTGGCCATGCTAAATTGCCCATAGTGTTCAGGGATGTGTAGATTAGGTGGGTTAGAGGGGGAAGGGTCTGGTTGGGATGCTCTGAGGGTTGGTCTGGACTTGTTGGGCTGAAGGGCCTGTTTCCATACTGTAGGGATTCGAAGAGTATTAGTTAATTTGACAAACTGTGACAGATGAGAACGCTTTATCGATCCTAAAGCCATTCTGTAGAATGGAGGAGCAGGGGTTGTGGTCTTGGTGTGGTACAATGTTTGTCTCTGATGTGATACAGTCTTTGATGGCAACGACCAGTGTTCTTCCCTCAATCTGATGAAGGGGAATTCTTCGTCTTCGCTACAGAAAATGGTGGCTCAGTCCCTGGATCCTCTCTCTCCCACTCCTTCCACCTACCCCAGTTGTTATATCTTATTTTTGGATGGGTGACAATCTATGGTTTGTCAGTCACTTGTCTAAACCCTTTCAGCCAGTGACCATGGGCAACTACTTATAATGCCAGGATGACTACTGTGCCCTTTCCCACCTCCATTTGAAGGTTAGTTTTTATTAATTCTAAGAACAAAAACTTCTTATTTTTCCAAACACAGCATTTCTAATCAGGTAGTATAGCACCAAAAAATCTTTAAGTTTATGTTTGTAGAAGGCTAATTACCACTGTAACATAGTTTAATGAGGCCTCATGCTGCACTGGAAATATTGAAAATGGAATACTAGAAGAACTCAGTTTTAAAGGGGACCAAATTTACAACATGTTGTTCGAATGCAAGGACACAAAGGAATGATCCATGTGGGAAGGAAAAAAAACACTCAGATCAGAGGAGACTTGACAGGCAGGGCCAATTGCTCAGGCTGCATCCCCAGTAAAAATTAACCTGAAATGAATACATACACAAAGAAGTAGGGAGGCCATCCAAAGTACAGATTAATAGGAATTTTTCAAAATACAAAGAATCAATGCATTATCCTTTTATTTATGACTCATCACTCATGTAACACAAAGTTCTCCAACAGCCTGGTTACGTGAAGAGATTAGTCATGCAACTCATAGTGACCCAGCCTTACAAGAAACACATCTGCTGTTAAATGGACAGTCAAACATTGAGTGAGTGGGTGGGGAAAATGTCATCTGCTTCATAACATCCTCAGATTAGAGATCCAGTAATTACCTATGAAACAAATGGCAGTAATCCAGCAGTAAGACAGAACTGCAAATGAAAGTATGTTTCCTCAGGGATGATTCATCATCACTGATTTCTAACCACGTAAAATACACCTCATTCGGATCAGAGAATTCATCTACACTAATAATACTGTGTTCGTCACCCACTCAGAAACTCAACTGCAAAGACTCATGGACTGTCTATTCCACACCTGTAACCTGTTCTCCTTGACTATATGTCTAGAAAACCATGGTCATGGGACATGGTATACATTTCCTGATCACACTAAATAACATTACACCAAGTGGTTAACACATTCTGCTACGTCAGGTCAACAGTGACAGATAGTCACTCCTTTGATGCAGAACTTGGCATACACAGAGGAAAAGCAGATAACAAACTTAGCAGACTCAAGGAACAACACTTGGAGCAACAGCAAGCAGACACTATGACCATTCTGATGGTTTATGTAACCGCGTTCTCAAAATTTTGATGGATGGCTGTCAAACATAGACAACTTATATCTACCAGAAAAAAATAAATGTACATATGAATCAGGAACAGAAGGCCTTTCAACACGTGACTATTCAATAAGATCATAGTTGATCTTTTGTGTTTTGAATTCCACATTCCTATTGATCTTCTGGTAACTTTCAACACTTGTGCCTAACAAAAATCTATCTAGTTCTGCCTAAAATGGTCCCTCCTGCTCCATTTTCTGAGGCACAGCATTCCAATGTTACAAAACCCTCTAAGGGAAAAAAAGTCTTCTTATCTCTGTCCTAAAAGGGTGACCCACAGTTTTAAAACAGTCTTCCTGGATCTGGACTGACCCATGTAAGGAAACAGTTCTTCCACATCAATCTTGTCAAGACTGTTCAGAGTGTTCTATATTTTAGTCAAGCCACTTTATTCACACTTCTAAACACCAGTGGAAACAAGCCAGCCTTTCTAATCTTTCCCCTTAAGTCAATCCGTTCATGTCAAGTATTAATCTAGTAAACTTCTCTGAACTCTGGGCAATGCACTTATATTTTCTCTTAAATAAGAGATCTAAACGGCACACAGTATTCAAGATACACTGCCTTCATTACCAGAAGCATAACATTCATTCATTTATGTTCATGTCTTCTCGTAATAAAGCATAGCATCCCATTATATTTCTTCACTACTTGCTGCACCTGAGTAACAACTTTTTATAGTTCATGCACTAGAAATCTAGATATCTCTGCATATAAGAATTCTGCAATTGTTATCCATTCATTTTGCTTTTCTCATTCTTCCTGTCAAAGTGAACAACATCACATTTTCTCATACACCAGATTTTTGTCCACTTAATCAATCTATATCCATCTGAATTCTCCTTATGTCCTCTTCACACTATACTTTCCTACGTCTCTTGGTATCATCTGCAAATTTAGCTATCAAGTCTTCACTCCCCTAAGTCATTGATATGAATTGTAAAAAGCTGAGCTCTCAGTGCAGACTGCTGCAGGTTTCCACTCGTCACAAAAATAAAGCAAAGAACTGCAGATGCTGGAATCAGTTCTAAAGGAGGGTCACGGGAATCAAAACACTAAGTCTGTTTCTCTCTGCACAGATGCTGCCAGAGTTTCTCCAGCAATTTCTGTTTTTTTTCTCTATTCATTACATCCTGCTGATCAGAAAAACACCCATTTATGCATACTCTGTCATCTGCCAGCCAATCAATCTTCTATCAATGTTAATATGGTTCCCCCTACACTATGTGCTTGTACTCTGTATAACAACCTTTGATATGGTACCTTGTCAAAGGCCTTCTGGAAAATCAAATATAGTATATCCATAGATTCCCTTTTATCAAGGTAACACTAATTCTTCAAAGAACTCCAATAAATTGGTTAAACACAAGTTCCCTTTGACAAAATCATTCCCTTGAGTTTTCTAAGTGCACAGCTATAACTGCCTGAATGACTGATCCTAAAACAAGCTCCACAACAAGCAAAAAGCTAACGGGCCTATAGTTTCCTGCTTTCTGCCTCCCTCTCTTCTTGAATAGAGGAGTTATATAATGCTTGCTACTTTCCAGTCTTGTGAAACCTTTCCTAAATCTACTGAATTGTGGAAAATTAACATCAACACATCTAATATCTCATTAGACAACTTTTTTAGGTGCTGGGGTGAAATTCATCTGGACCCTGAGACTTGCCAGCCCACAATTCTATCATCTTTCTCAGTACCACTTGCCTGGTGATTGTAATTTCACGAAGTCCCTTTCACACTTCTATCTCCTGACTTGCAACTACAATTGGAATGTTTTTTTTGTATTGTCTACAGCGAAAAAGCAAAATATTTATTTATTTCATGTTATTCCCTTATTATCTACTATTTACTCCATATTCACATTCTCTAGAGAACCAACATTCATATTACTTTTTTTTTCTTTTTTAGAAACTCTTATTTTTACATTTCAAGCCAGATTCCACTCAGATTCTAATTTCTTTCCCCCAATTCATGTTTTAGTCATTCTCTGCCATTCTTTATATTTTGACCAATCATCTGACATGCCATTCACCTTCATTCAACTAGAGGCTTTTTCTGTAAGTTTAATTCTTTACCTAATCTCTTTAGTTAACCAAGGATGGTGGATTCTCCCTTGAAATTTCTTTTATAGCAGAGGCATACTTATTCTGAAACACAGCCTGAAATGTCTGTCACTGTGCCTCTAGTGATCTATCACTATCCTATCATGCCAGTTCATTTCAGCTAGTTCATCTTTCATTGCCAAATTATTGCCCATATTTAAGTTTAAAATACCAATCTTGGACCTGCTGTTCTCCATTTCAAATTGAAAGTAAAATTCAATCACATTGTGGTTGCTAATACTTAAGGGTGCCTTTACACTGAGTTCATTAATTAATCCTATCACATTTCACACTACCAAGTCTAGTTTAACCCACTTTCTGAAAATTTCCTGTACCTGATGCTATAAGGAACTGTTTTGGAAGCATTCTATGAACTCTTCATCCTGGCTACTACTGCCAATTTGATTTTTCCAGTTTATATTAGATTAAATTCACCCACCATTATTATTATCCCTTTAACACAAGCAGCCAATATTTATTTTTGGATACTTAACCTGACATTGCATTATTGTTCATGGGTCAGCTGACCACCTCTACTAGTGACTTATATCCTATACTATGTCTCATCTCCACTTAAAACAAGTCCATATCCTGACTGGCTGAACCACAGTCATCTCTAACTATTGCACAAATGCCATCCTTGATTAACAATCCTACTCCTCCAGATTTACCTAGCTTCTAAGTTTCCTGTCCTTGAATGCCATATACTCTTCAATGTTCAAGACCCAATCCTTGTTATCATGTAACTACATGTCTGTAATGGTTATCAGATCATATTTATTTCAAGGTAGTTGCCCACAGTTGTTGTGTCAGCAATTCTGCTCTTAATGTGTACTATTAACTTGATTACCTCATTATCAATGCTACATGCATTGAAGTACAGTGTCTTTGGCTTTGTACCGTCTAGTCTTGACTAAAGCTCAACATTTCCATCTTGCTGACAAATTACGTACTTTTTCCAGCAAGACAAAAACACTAAAACAGCAATCTCAGAGGCAGAGCTGTCGAGTGCACTGACACCCGTGAACCAAAGGGACAGATTCTGTGCATCAAGCATGTCTGCATGATGGAAAATGTTTGCACACCCAAGACCCTTCCACATGGTGATGTAGCCAGACCCAAATAACTAATGCAGCATTCAACGCTCCACTTCAAGGGTGCTTGCAAGTGTGATCTGAAGAGCCTGAACATTGAATATCACACCTAAGAGTCACAAAATGCCGACCAAGAAAATTTGTCAGTTTTTCTTCTATGCGCATGCATATCCAAGGTGGGACTTGAACATAAACTCGTCTGGTTCAGCAAGAAGAGTGCTACCAAGTGAACATGTGAAAGTTTGCAGTGGGTCCTTACATTTGTCACTTCTCTCTGGTCTCACTAAAGCCCTTTGGGCATGTCACGTGATATTAAGCAAACTTTAATATTGGTGAGACCTTACTATGCACAGATTAGTCGCCGTGTTTCCTGTATTGCAACAGTGATTAAACTTCAAAGATTGTGCATAATTGGCTGTAAAGCTCTTTTGCACACTCACAGCTCATGAAAGGTGTTTCATAAATTTAAATCTTTCTATCACACACACACACTTATGTTCCAGAACTGCTGCCAGTTCTTAAACTGATTTCAGACATGATCAAACCAGATGTGCAGGCTAAGTCCCTGATGCACTAAATTATATTTTAAATCTTTCTGAAGTTTCCCAATTTGAAGTATTTCAAGTAACAAATGAGTTAAAAAAAATCTGGCTGGACCACAACCGTCCAAATATAAAGGAGCTGCCTCACCTTTGTTGTTGACATTCTTGGTGGTTCGAAACACCACAAAGGAACAACATGAATTTGATTTAATTTAGTACCCATTAATTAGTTAGCAAGGTTAATCTCTGTAAAATCATAAAGCACATAATAAGGTCACTCATTCTATCGTGCTTGTGCTGGTTTTTTGGAAGAGTTGCCTAATTAATCCAACGCTTTCCAAATTTTCCACAGAGCCCTTCAAACCTTGGCACAGACTCATTTATACAAATTTCCCTGCTGAGTGAATGCTTTGGGGTATTTTGATCAATTTACAAGAATCTGTGACATTGGTCAAAAGTGTTAGGTTTTCAAGTGAATTTTAACAGAGCAGAAAGGGGTAGAAAAGTTTAGTTGTTAATTCTAGAGCTTAGGTCCTTAGCAGTTGAAGGCATGGCCATCAAAGGTGATGTGATTAAAATCAGTGACAAGAAGCCAAAATTATCGCGGTAAAGAGATCAAGAAGAGGGATCGTGAAGCAGCAAACCAAAAGGCTAATCAGTGAAACCTGTGGGCAGGGACTACTGAACCACCTTCGCCATTTTTCCCCTCAACCCATAACACCTCATCTTTTTTTGTCTGACCATCATCTGCATGTGACTACAGGGGGAAGTTTTAAAGTGGACTGTACAGTTTTAACTAGTGAGTTATATGGTGACAGCTCATAGTGTCACGTTTACTTGTAATTAGAATATACCTATTTGAAACAAATAGTAATTCTTGTTAAGTACAGAAACCTACTTTTAAGAGAACAGGCAATTTGGGAAATTTTGCATACTTTCACAAAATCTATGATTTTTTCAATGATTTTTTCAATGATTTTGGGATGGGGGGCTAAATACAATAAGGATGAGCTTGGGAATGGGTGAGAAAGTAGCTGTGGAACACCTGTTCTATTTTCATCCCTAGTCAAAAACACACCCAGTGGGGAATGAAATATCCAGCCGAAGCAAGAGAACAGTGTCAATATGCCAAGGTGCTGCTGATCTTTAACATACCCTCTACGCTTTTCAATTCTATCCCTTTTAAAAATGACCCGAGTACGTAGTTTGCATTTTTTCTAATGGCTTTGGTAACCTGTGGCGCATTTTTGTTTTAGCCAATCATCAAGCTCTGCTGAATTCTGAAAGCAAATTGTACACAACTCGTAAAGGTACGGAATGGAGGCACTTTCTCTTATTTGTACTTTCAAACTGGGGCTTCTCATAAATCAACTTGTAAATATGGAATGGTGATCCAGTTACATTGAACACTTTATTGCAGAATTTGCTGTAAAAATAACAATGAGTATAATGGTGCACACTGCGAGTGATGTGTAAATTTTCCAGCAACTTGTGGCGACAAAGAGATTTCTCATGAGTTGTGAAACACCGCAAGTTGTTGGATGGGCTTCTCTGCCTCAAACTCAAAAACAGCTACTCGTCCTCAAATGTCTTTGTGAGTTTTGTGAAGTTGCTGCAAGTATATTAATTACCCATTAAACTTGCCTCAGAGTAAGGCTGGTACTTAATAGCTTAAATCACCCTTGATAGACAAGATATAGTCACTGCAATGCCAATGAACTTCTCTAGGCGAGACAGCAAATTGTGGAGTCATATTTTTGCAGATTATATATTCTTTTTTGGGAATATTTTAATGTCCAAACTGTTTTATTCATTTCCTCTTTGTTCTTTGTCTTTATTCAATTTCCCTCAATCCAATCATTCTCTTTTTCTTTTCATTTCTCTGATATGATTCTAATTCATCTTATTTCCTTTTGCATCTTTGCTGTTTCTTTCCTAATTCTTAAAACTCATGAATTAGACTGCTGGCCCTGTAATTCACTAAGGTCCCGATGTTCTTCTGCTCTTTTTATCAATTCATCTGCCCAGGGAAAAATTTTTATTCAAATTGAAGTTCGATGGAAATAGTCAAGCCAATTGTGTATGCATGAAATGCCACAAACTCTGAGCTATTGTTGTTCATAATTGATAGGAATTTTCTAACACTCAATGAGTGAGAATCATTTCAAGTTTCACTTCTCAGAAATCAATGGACAAAGTGTTGCACACTCTCATGGAACAGCCTAAACCACAGGAAACCGATAAGCTAGTCAAAGATTTAGCTCATAGTTTTAAAAAAAGCTAACACGTCAAAAGTACTTTTATCTGATACAAGGCAGGTGCCTTCAGTGTTAGCGATTCACAACCTAACACAACGTCAGAAGCTTAGAGGATAGGTCCAGCTACAGACACAAATTAAAGGTGTTCAGTGTGTAAGTATTGATTCTTATTCAAAATTTAAAATTTAATTGTGAACTAAGTGGACTATTTTACTGCCTTTGTAAAATAATATTGTGGGTTACTTATGTGTTGGCTTTCTTCAAATTTTTACCTTGAGGCATAATTCTCAGATACTGCTGCTTAAATAATATGCTTTTGAGGTTGCAAATTGATAAATTTAATTCACTTTGTGAAATACCTTTTCAAGAATGTTTTTTTATAAAACAAATTAAAGCTATCATTAGTTTTAATTTCTGACAAAAGTAGTTAAATGAATAAATCAAAAAAATTACATAGCAATTTATTTAAGAAAAGGCTTTTCATAATTATGATGTACCTTCAAATACAGCATGTAACATGGCAGATAATTTAAATTATTGAAATTTATACATTCTGAGAAACAGCAAAGGTCGTGCAAATTTCCCCAACAATGCAATATGAAATATACAACATACTTACATTATTAAACTACTGTACATAAACATTATCATGGAAAAAACATTTTATAACATAGAAGTAAGAAATGTGCTTAGGGTGGGGAAAGGTGTGACGGAGCTGGAGGTTGGAAAGTAGAAGTTTAAAAGCGAAGCGGGGAAACAGTGTACAAACATACAAAGCTACCAAGAATTAAATACACGTGACTAGAATAGCACTTGTGGTATTTATTAACGCAGGATTCATCCGAGTAGCGTTACATTATTCCAAGCACCATAAGAAAACCATGGTAGTTAAGAACTATATTTAAGAACTTTATCATATAAAATGAATAGTTTGATCTGCAGTGTCCTTGGATTGAGCCGCTTCTCCTACACACACAAATTAGTTAACGTTGTAGTGAAATACTAGTAATGAGTTTGCACTTTTTTAAAGTGCATGAATCCATTTATTTGAATGCCTTGTTAGCAAACAATATAAGTTAATTTAAATGTATTAATGCACTAGGCAGAGTTAAACAAAAAAGGTTTTTCATTTTATCATGCGATGTGAACATTGCTGTCAAGGCCAGCATTTGCTCACTCTCCCTAATTGCCTTCAGAGGATACTCACAAGCTGCCTCCTTGAACCACTGCTGTCCTATAGATATACCTGTACTGTGAAGAAGAGAGTCCAAAATTTTTGACCCAGCTACAGTGAAAGACGGTGTGCGACTTGTATCCCCATGAGCGAGCTGCGATTCTAACTAATTGAGGTTCTGGATTTGGCAGGTATTGTTGAAAGAGGCTTATTGAGCTGCTGTGATGCATTTTATATTATATATGTATTACATCATAATTAGAGAACCAAAACATGCCATTTGGTCAACTGATGTTTGGTAAATATACCACTCAAAAGCTTTCTCCCATCCTCCTTAATCTGACTTTATCAGCATATCCTTCAATTCCTTTCTCTCTTATGTACTTAGCTTTCTGTTAAAACCTTCAGAAGCTTCTCCAATTATTTAGAATTAAAGGAATCTGTCTTGCAGCATATTATTCCTTTCAAATATGCACTTCTTAAGCAAGGAATGACAGAAAGCAGCAAAGTACCTTTTCTTATTAACCAATTTTTCTAATCAACCTGTTTAGTGATGTTATTATGCACTTCTAGAGCAGGTGGGACTTGAACCTGTGCCTCTTGGTCCAGGAGTAGGGGCCCCTCAAATTACATTTTTATATAGTGCAGAAAATGACAGCAGAATAAGTAAGTTTGTTTCCTCTGTTTCTCATCATCACATACCGTTCATTTCTCTCAAACAGTCTCTCCCTTAATATGAATTGCCACCTCCTGGTAATCATCCAGCTGAAAACACACTTCATAGTCAACCATTCCCCTTCAGTGTCACTTCAGATTTAAAGCAGGTGTTCAAGACCTCACATCAGCTCTGATGAACAGTCATCTAAACATGAGACGTTAGCTTGTTCTCTCTCCACGGATGCTGCCTGACCCACTGTGATTTCCAGCAATTTTTTGATTTCAGTTCAAAGTCTCAGAGTCTCCTAGAATTATACAAAACTGATGGCCCA